AAGCCGATTATCGAAAACGGAAACCTCATTCGAATTACAAGGAACACATTCGGTGCGAGCGGGAGATCGTGGCTGTAAAGAAGATTACTAATTTAAAGGGTCAATTAAAAACCTTGGTCATTTGCTGTGGTATCACGTACGGAGAGGAAGAAGGTCCGCTTCATTATCTCTTCAAAATGGCTTGGCAAAACGCGTCCTTTTTACCGGTATTTGGCAAAGGACGGAACAAAATTCCTCTTTTACATGTTCGTGATTTGGCCTCGTAAGTAATAAATGAAAAAAAAGAGGATATGAATATTGATCTTGTTTGAGAAGTTGCGATATATATTTGCATTTGTGTATATTTAGTATTCACAGTTGTAAATTGTATTTCTTGGTATTGTTAAGATTAAATGGAAATAACAATACGGCGGAAGTAATAGTAAAAAGTAGATTTTTGAATATTACCTTCATAGTATGCATCCTGTTTTAATTAATATTAAAGTTTATTTGCGGGTCATGGAATATTTTAAAACATAATACCTTGAAAGTAATGTTCAAAATCTACTTTACTATTACTTCCGCCGTATTGTTATTTCCATTTAATCTTAACAATATCAAGAGTTACGATTTACAACTGTGAATACTAAATGTACATAAATACGAATATATCGCAATTTCTCAAACAAGATCAATATTCATATCCTCTTTTTTTATTGATATAATTATCAAGATATCCGTTCTTGCCCGCTCATTAATGCAAATCTCTTGGAGCGTGCTAAAATTCTAATTGTTCGGTTGACCAGAGATCCGCTGTTACAGTTAATTTGATTTTCAGGATTGTGGTTTCGATATTACAAAATTGGCCTCCGATGAGGTATATCGTGGCAGTGGAGCAGGAACTAATCCCTCAAAATATGATCGCTAAGGTACTACTGTAAACCTGTTTACGCATATAGAGTTTATTGACGTTCATTTTCACATACAAATTTTAGTAGATTTATTGACTAAACACATTGCGCTCTGAATTTGATTTCACGATTTGATGCTTTCCAATCCAAATAAAAAATTCGAAGAAATAAGAAAATAATATAATAAAACGAGATCAGTGAGAAAATTTAAAACAAAACATGCAATATATAAAATAATTATAGAATTATTATTGTTGCAAACTTTATTATTTCATTATTTTTTCTGTATAAAATATATCTTGTGACCTTAATTATTCCGTAATAAACGTTGACTTCAGTAATCTGCTTTATATTCAGTTTTACTGTCGGAAACCAGTTTTTGAAACAGTCTTTGTCCTACTTGCATAAACTGGTTTATATACAAGTAATGCGGAGAATCAGGTATTTCGAGTTGGTCTTAACAAGATCACGGATATTAATTCTTCCTCATTAACGCATCTAGTTTTTATGCTGCAAATATTTGCATTGCGTGTTGCAAATCTGTTTTACAATATTTTGAAAAAATTTATAACATACCAATATACTCTTAATAATATCTCTTTTTCTTTTTACTACGCTACTTTTTCATGTCCGCAATACTTATTTTAACATATATTTATAAATAAAAAATATATCTTCAAAAAATATATTACAAAACAAATTAAAAGAATTAAATTTAGAAAATTATTCCATGATAAAATATTTGTTATCTCTTAATATCTTTAAACAGAAAATCAGTCAAGGTCTAACTACCGGTAGGATAAAAAACGTATCAAAGGAAGAAGCTCTTCAGCTACCAGAGCTTTCACAGCAGATATACGATCAAATGACCGTGGATTTAAACATCGATCCCGTGTACATCATTGACCGGATACGTTGGCACCTTGACATGCCATTTCAAAATGTCATAGACATAGTTATAAAGGAATATAAGGCGGCGCGAAACCTACGGCCAGTGAAAATAATCGTTCTTGGTCCGCCAGCATCTGGGAAGACTCGGGTCGCTCGATATCTCGCGGATCATTACAAGATACATTATATTCATGTAAAAACATTGATTTCTGATACAATCCAGAGATTGGTAAGCACACATTTGTTTATAAGAAGATCATGTTATCGTAATACTGTAATTTGTATAAAGTGTATAATAAATAACCGATTATAAGATGAACGATATCGATGCTGCGAAATCAAGCGAAGGACGACAAAATGATGAACTGAGAGAATACGGTGACGAAGATAATAAAGGGGCTCAAGAAGAAGAGGAGATAGAAGAACAAGATGAAAAGGAGGTCACTGTAAACGCTGCAAAGTTGCAAGAACAACTTGACGAGATCCGGACCAATATGGCAACGAATAATGGCCGTCTCGACGATGTCGTCTTGAATAAGTTATTAAACACTTATACGTCAATTTTTACACGCGAAAATTGTTCTATATCTTTTTGTAACGATGTATGTTCAGGCAGAGTGTCAGTGTGCGTGAGTGTTTGGGAAGCACTGTTGACATCGTTAGCTGCTTCATTTCCTACATTGCGGTCGAATGTTGTAATCACATTGACGCCGAAATGTTATCTGATTCGCCAGAAGCTCTTCTGCTAACGGTGCAATAGTGCAGTTAATGCTAAAAGCTCAAATAGGGCTTGCTTTACCCGGCACACTAATTGCATCAAAATCGAACACATTTACGCGCACTGTTACACGGTTTCGCATTCAATTTGAAACGAAATAAACGTATTGGATGATCGTGTGCAGTTTCATATATGTTTTCAACATTTTCCCGTTCAATTAGCGGAACGCATGCGAGACATTTTTTATAAGTCTCATAAAGATGTATAATTTTTATCAAAAATTTTCATAATACATATACATTCTTAAGCTGCTTCCTTGATAAAAAAATTACGTGATACATCAGAGAGCACCAACGCAAAAAACGCAGCGCTGTAAAAGTTGCGTTATATGCTGCAAGTTATTTCATCGTCTAAAACGTGAATTCTTCTAGTCAAACGTATCACTTTGTACAAAAATAATTTTATATCGAAAGCAATAGTTTAATCGCTTTCTTTAAAATGCTAAATTTAATATTACAAATTTTAAAATATTATAACAATTTTATATTTGAAATATTGGTTTTCTCACTTTTTAGTTAATTTCTTCTTCAATGAGCGTGATATAAGAAAATAAGAAATATAAAATTTTCTAAATAATATTAAAGATAATATCAATCAATATCGAAGGTTGTTCCTGAATCGATTGAAGTCGAAAGACTGTTTAAACCAAGGATACGTGATGGATGGACACCCAAAGACCATCGAACAAGCTAGAAAACTATTTCTAATCAGCGAAGTGAATTTAGCGGAAGAGGAAGAGCAATTCGAAGACGACAATATCGAGATTAGGAACGCTAACGTAACGACCTTGCCGGAATTAGTCGTAGTTTTGGAAGCGAGCGACAACTTTTTAAAGGAACGTGTCATGAACTTACCAGAGAAAGAAATACAGAACACGCATTATACGGAGGAACATATGCTGCGACGTTTGAAAGAATATAGGTAACGACAAAATAATTCGCGATAAAAAATCCTCATCTTTTTTTCACGTGACTCACGACCACTGTGACTTATTCATACTGCGTAATAGTTTCAACAAACGAACGAATATTGAAGCTAGCGCACGCAAATGGGATTCGAAAACGTGCGCTGAAGATTGATTACACTTGCGATAAAAAAATGTAACATTTTTTATATAAAATATATCGCGACAATTGAAACAGTGGATGATATCTAATTAATAAATTATATGTATAATTTATTAATTAGATGTCATCCACTGTTTATATGTATATTTTATGTGTATTTTACGTCATAAGCTTAAACAAAGTTTATTCGAGTGATTTTAAGTCGATTAAGGATTCGATGAAGGATTTTCAGCTATAAGAGCTTATGTTGAATCATCTATTATTAATAAATGAGATTAGACTCCTACCTTCGTTAATTGCATATTTAGATGAACTATGTAATCATCAATATGAGAGACATTTTCTGCCACCTACATTTTTGAAGCAAGCAAAACTGTAAAAACGTATACATGTATACAATAGTTTGCATAAATAGATTGCATAAGCTAATTTTCTACAACACAAAGGAACTTAAATTTATGCGAAAACTATGCAACGCATTGAATTACGTATTCTATTCTAGGGAGAGAAATATAGATTACAATACACCGTTACAATTATTCGACGAAATGGAAATCCACCCACTAGTCATATCTGTGGAGGCTGACATTTGTCCGGATATGTTTCCCACGATTTATCAATGCTTGGAAAAGCTTGGAGAACCAAAGAATTACGGTGTGTACGCGATAATTCATACTCTCCTGCAATTTTATTTATCATCTCGACTTTTTCCACGACTTTTTCACGATATACATGTCAATGTCTTCGGTCGATTTCCAATATTGTTACCTACGCATATCGTGGTACCATACGCTCATTTTATTTCTGTAACATAGTCACTTCTAAATCGGTAAAATGAATAAATGTCATAAGATGGATTACTTTTATTGTCTATAGTAAAAATTTTTGGTAAAGATTATTTTCTGATAAAAATATAAATTTCCTCTTATTCTCAAGTAATAATTCCTTTAAAACACAGTGGCCTCAATTTTTTAATATGGGATTTCTCGTTTAACTAAAGGTTAATCTCTTTGCCGTTAGTGAACTGCAATCTTGGTTTGTTGTATATTTTTTTCTTTTTTTTTATATCATAATTATATCTGCCATGTACAAAGAGAAAGGATATTCAGTTATGTTTAATTAGCGTTAACCGACATCGAAGAAATTGATTCTTATAAATACAGCTTCTATGTCGTATAATAAAATAATATTAAAGCAATTTGCACAAGTTCCTCTATTATAATGAGGTTAATAAGATGAGATACATTGTTAATTGAAGAGTTTTTATAGAATTTATTATATTGTATAATATTGGCAAAAAATATTTGGTAAAATTACTTTTCGAAATCGTAATGTAAAAATATATTTTTTTTCTCGACCAAGGGCTAACAGCCGAGGAAATGGAAGCGACACGAAAACGCGCTGAAGCAGAAACACGAGCTGCTGAAGCTGCAGAAAAATTACGGAAGGAACGAGAATTTTTGGAACATAAGAGACAGCGTGAAGAGAAAATGAAGGATTGGGTTTGTATCGATTTCTTTATCAGTATTTAGAAATCAATTAAACTAATAAATTAGTTAACTATCAATATTGTTTTCATTAATGTTTCATCATCGCTTTTGCGTGGATTGTAAATTGTTAATTCACATGTTGAGAGATAATAATTATTCAAATGATTAAATTACCTAATTACTAAACTATCTTGTTGATTGATTGAAATAAATAATAAATAAATTTAATATATATTCAGATAATCAAAAATATAAAATAAGTCCAGTCTTCGCAAAAATTAGTTTCGATTTAACTTAAAGGAGACGATTTATGTTGTTATCTGCTTTTTTATTTCTTTGATTTCAAATAAATTTGGGTTGTAGTATTACAGGATATGTATCCATCTCTTACTTTAATTTGTTCGAACTACAAAAGATATCTTTCTGCTTAGCTGAGCGAAGTTCCAAAATTAAGAAATATGATATTTCTATTATTGCCTTTCGAAATGTGCATAAGTGCGTACCATGTAGATTATATCCCCGTGCAAAGTTTAAAAAAAAAATTACTCAAAGCGAATTAGTAATTCGTAAGCGGATCTGAGGATTAAACAAGCTAGATCAGCTGACGTACTCGTTTGCAATATTAATCTGTTTTTTTGCGCGCGTCTGGCAAAGTTAGGCGACTGACCGGGATTAATTGCGTTTGAAGTTCACGGAACTTTTTGCATATAAAACTTGTAACTATAGTCTATGCATTAACAGCTGAAGCCATCGACAAATGCAAATGCATGTCATGCACGGTTGGCCGCTCATACTACGACGACATGCTTTTGTACGTGCTAAATCATAGACAACTCGACAAGCACTCAGCTAGGCCAGCGTTAAGCGAAGTTAAGCGAAGCGCATTAAAAATCAAGCATAAATTTCTGAAAAAAGCGCACACATTTTATACACACACTTATATATACGATATATATTATATACGGAGTGTAATTAAAGAGCACACCATTAAATTCTCTAGCCAATTTCGAAATTACTTTTTCTTAATAAACATGTCGAGGCAAATTTAATTTTTGAATTATAAATGAAAAAGAAAGACTTCTCACAAAAAAAACTTTGTGAAATTTTGTTAAAATGTTAAAATTAAGTACGTTCTTTAGTTAATTTCAGATAAAATCTACTTTAACAGCATTTTAAGTTACAAAGATACATATGGTAAAAATTGGGAACATGCAAAAAATATGATGATATCTTTCCTTCGATATCTTTGCTGAGAAAAAATTGTCTCCAAATTGGCCAGAGAAATTGATGTTATACTTGATATATGTTTTTTCAATTACATCCTGTATATACATATATCATAAATATAACACACCACTAAAACTTTCAGTTCGTGTCGATTATCGTAAAACACCTATCGCGTTGTGAATTATTTCAACGAGACTATAATTTATTGTCGGTATCTCTTTTATTCTTGATATAGGTTTACGCGAAACGAATATATTTCTTTATGTTATATCAAATTGAAATTAATTTCATATTAGACTCGAATTCCGGTTATTAGCAGAAATACGATAGATCATAAATCGTTCAATGGTGAAAATATGGTTTTTTACAGACAAATTTGCTGGAAAAGTTAAAGCAAGAGGAGGAGGAAAGACTATGTATTTTGGCGGAACCATTGCGACAGTATCTCACAAAGTACGTATTTCCAACGTTGACAGAGGCTTTGATAGAAGTTGCAAAACTACGACCGGAGGATCCAATAGATTTTCTCGTTAGTATATCACCGTTTGTTACCATTTATATTACATTGTATTTGTATTATTTTCACTTATTATTCTCGGTTATTACACACACAATTCGTATTGGAAAAAGATGATATAAAATATTCACTTCTGTTTCACACACATCCACACACAGGTGTTACCAGTTACTATTTTATTAATAATAATAGCTCGTAAACGAAACATGTGTAAGACAAAAGCGGCAAGCTCGCGCAAAATGTGCTACAACAAATGGATTATTGTCTCTGCGTTCCGATAATATCCGTCAGACTAAACGGGTTTAACTCATTGTACTAAAGCAGCCTCGGGATAATTATGTCAAGTGACCGGCTTTTAATTCGATTGAATTCACAGTTCGTTTGGCAAGCTTAGACTTATACGGCGCGATGTTTGATAATTATACTTCGCCAAATGGGACAAAATTAATGCCCGAATATACAGGACAAATTAAAAGAAGCGATGAGGTTTTATCTGAACACAGACATATCGATCGGCTTTGTAAACTGAAGCGATGCTGGCCATTTCATAACGTGCGCTTTCATATCAAGTTTCATGGTCGCATTGCGTGATCAAAGCCTTATTGGAATATAAAATATAGATTTGCGCGATATATGTTATAAAATTTATTGAGATATATTATTTATTATACTTATATTTATATTAAATTAATCGTGTGTAAGAATCTAAATTGTTATAGAAATGGACGTTAGGAAAAAAATATTAATCTTAATTTAATTTTTATCGAATGAATTGTTTTTGAGAAACATCTCAATATTTGATAAGTATTAAATTAATTTGTTTGAGATCATATAACACAAATTATAAAATAATTTATTTACACGAGTATAAATCTATTATAAATGACATTTTAAACGTTTTAATATTTACTATTTAAAATTTGAAAAATTTTAATTAAATAATTGATAAGTGTAAATGAAATTTTAGGCAACAATTTCAAACAATTGATATTTTATTATCCGTAATGTTTGAGCAGAATAGTAACTCAATGTAATCGAAATACTATTTCTGTAATTCACACGTAAAAATTTCGTGGATGTGTGCCGCTTGTCTGCACGTGATGCCGAAAAATAATGACTCGCGTGCATAAATGGAATAACTGCAATTAAGCAGGGAGCGAAAGCATTAGATCCGAATGATAATAAATAGAATTCCGTCGAGATCTCTGTCCAGCACAGAACTGTCCAGGTATCGGCAAATTGGGTAATTTCATTAGATTCTCGTCACCACAGTTCGCCGCGAAAGGAACATGTGCGAATGTGAGAACAACTTTCACACTTCAAATCCCATTCCCGTGGAAATCGATAGGTTACTGCTGCTCGCGATTAAACGCCGTTCCACTCCGGAGCATCGAGCCACGAGAGTAATAGGAGCATGACCGTTCTCTTGGCTCTCTGTCGATTATATCGGTACTGTCTATCTAATTTCGAGCTTCGCCGATTTTGATCGGTCCGCTATTACGGAGAAACGCAAAGGGCAGAGGCAATTTTTTTCACTATCAGCTTCAGTAATCGTTTTAATTCGTTTTGTTATTCACGACCGATCTCTTTGAAGATTGCCAGTACAATCCCATATTATTTATAATATGTGCCATTATCGGAAATTTTATATTAACTTATTGTTAGTCATAGGTCTAAGTATATACTTTTTCGAGAAAAGCATCTTTATTATTTATATACCTATCTATTTGTTTATTATATATATATATATATATATATATACATGTTGTAGAAAATTTTATATTATGATTTCAACTTCGCTTTAGATGTTGCATTATAAAATCTAATTCGCCAAAGCAATCTTGAAATAATGCACAATTCGCTTCGCAGTCCCTTTGCGGAAGATAACAAGGGATTCCATATCATTTGTATCTTTATTTTCTATTTATTTATATATGACTTTAAAATCGTTTATGTAAGAGTTCTCGTACTTTCAATTTAATAATTATAACCAAGATCTTTACAACAATCTTTTACAAACACATTTATATTCAGTACGATATTCGTATTCAATATAATGATATTTTTTAAACAATTTTTTAAAAATCGATAATAGTTTTCATTCGCTGATAGTTTATATATATATATATATATATATATGTCTGTATGTATGTATGTATATGCATATAGTATTATATAAATGGATAGGTGAAGCATGATAGAGAGAATGGAAAAGCTAAGGGAAGGAAATAAGAAGAAAAAAGTCAAAGAATAGAAAAGAGAGATACAACGTCGATAAAATAAATTCGCGTTACCTTCAATGTCTCCCAATGGGTTTGATGAAATTGGTATTTCGTACTACTACTATATAGAGCAATGTGTAAGTGTGTGTATGTGACCTTCAGTATTCATTATTTAAAAGACAATGAATTCAGATAAATTCAATCTCGAGATACATTAAAGAGAGAGATAGAGAGAGAGAGAGAGAGAGAGAGAGAGAGAGAGAGAGTTGAAAAAACAATATGCAGATACTTCATAAAATGCTTTTAAAAATTACTTCCTTTTGAAAAACATTTTTACAACTATGTTCGATTCCCATCTTCCCTTTTACAATAATAAATTGAATTGTTTCTCTTTGTTAGATGATTCGACAATGAACTGTTAATATTTAAATGGTTTTTCCGCTTTTTTTTACATAATCGTCGACTGTAAATTCGTGATACGATAAAACTACTCGAAAATTTCAGTAGTATTTTAGCAGCATATTTTTCATTAAAAATTCAGGTCGATGAACCCTGGTCTGAATAAAAATGTTGGCTGTCTGATAAAAATTTCATAGTCGTGTCCAATCAATCATTCAAATATCAGTCATATACATATTAGTATCGGAAAAAAAATTATCTTCTGTCTTACATGTCAAAATATATTACAATATCATTACTTTTTTGTCAAAAGACACAGACATTGTGTACTTACAAAATAATATCCAATTCATCATACAAACTTTTTGATAGTTTGATTTTTTTTTCATATATTTTTTTAGAGACTTATCGCAAACTTAAAGATTTACTCGTATCACTCAGTCGAAGTTGATCTATATGAATAGGTGTTGTATTATGTATTATTTCATATAATAAAATTTCATGTAAAGAAACATGAACACGCGCAGATGAATCACTTTTCGAATAGTGCATTGAATTTATATATACGCAATCGTACTTCGAATATCTAATATTTTCTACAAAATATATATTTTCTATTACATTTTATCAATGTGCACGCACTGTGATAAAAGCGCTAGTATCTCTTGGACATAGATAATGTTGACGATTTCTATACGAGCTGCGTGCAAACAAATCAGGATTCTAACGTTGTTCGGTAAATATTGAGATACAAGCGAGTACCAGAATGCAAGGTAATAGAACGCGATAACGCAACAATAAACCAGTATCTTTAGATGCTCTTGCATAAGAGCGCGCCGGTCGCGTAAACTGAGTCACAAAGGAAAATTAATAACGAGATTGAATGCGCGATACGCGCGACGTCACGACTAAAATTACGATTGCAACGTAACATCCGTATAATTATCATAAGTACGACATAAAAACAAGCGACGTAATGGACGTTTTACGGAGATTGCATCATATTTTGATCATTTTAACAGGAAGTATTATGTGTAGAGTGAATCATTTATAATACTTTACATTACTAACTTTGGTTATTTATATTTCCGATACTTTGGTGGAAAAGGAGGGATCTTAATAAAAGAAGGAATAAAGGCATCTTCTTCATTGTGTGAGATTTTAACTTTCCGCTCATGTAATGAAGCTCGCTCTGAAATTTAAGAGTTCAAACTCGTAATTATAACAAAATAATAATCGATGATAATGTTAAAACTCTTATATTTTAAAATAATAATCGATACGTGTTCATTAAAAAGTTATTCCACATTCTTCAAGGATTAAAGAAAATTGGATAAAACACATCAAATAGCACGTAGATATACTATCTGAGTGTGCTACTTTTTCTATTAATTTTTTTTCATTTGTGTGTTGTTTGAAATTGTTCAGATAATGTTTAGATATCAAATATAATATGCAAACCATTAAATATTTGTCATATTTCCATTCGCTAAAGTATTAGGCACTTTGCGGCGTTGAAACTGTATATATATTGGTTCTATTATATTATACTGACACCGTATAGATATTCATATACGTGTAAAATATAGAGATGACGCTTACCATAATGGTAACTAATTTATCGACATCGAACCTCATACAACACCGGTGTGGTGTGTTGATATTTATGTGTATAATAATTCAATAGAGTTACTAAAACAATACAAGAACATCATTAAATTCCTATCATTAATAATTACTAATTATCAAACTTAGCAACCTGATGATAATGGGAAATATTGAAATTGAATACAGCATTTAACTCTTTAACAATGAGAATTATGAAATAACGTATATAAATAAAATTAAATAGAATATAATAATTTCTTTTGCGTAAATTCTTATAACTTTTAGATACTGTAAAACGTTGATTAAAACTCGTCATTTCTATTGATGAGAGCGCATTAAGTAGTATAACTATATATGGCTGTATTGATAATAGCTACATTGTTGTGCCAATCATTGTTGCAGCCATGTTGGTTGGTACAAATAACACAACGGCATGCTTTTACGTGATATCCGGAGGATTGAAATCATTCGAAGGTAATGCAATAAACGTGGGCTGTTCGATATTACGTGCAAAAAAAGTTGCAAAAATAAGAGAAAAATAGGACAAAAGACATTAAAAATGAAAGTGGGTCGTAAACTTTAGATGGTACATGACCTGTTTCTAAATAGATTATGAGATTGATGTCACATTCCAGTATATTCTCTCATACGACCTAGTAAGCAAAAAATCATTGCTACAACGTTATTATTGTTGTCAAGTATGTCGTAGTTTTTAACATTGTATGCAATATCATTATGAACAAACTTTGACATCGATTTAGAGGTTTCGGTAATGTTGAAATTAACGTTTTTAAAATATTTTATTAATATTTTGAGAGCAATATGTTATTAAATAATTTTTAAATAATATTAAATAATATTTTTAAAACATTTATAAAACATCAATTAACATTTTTTAAAAATATTTATTAATAATATTTTAAACATATTTATAAAACATTCTATCGTAACGTTTAGAAAATTTATATAAAATCAACATTTCACAATGTTGATTAAATATTTCTTGCTACTGGGGAATAAAGAGCTACACGACATATACATATCACATACATTTTAGAATATATATTTTATAATAATTTTTTTCTTGGGCAATTATTTATTTTTTAAATTATAATTAAACAATACTACAATATATTGCATCTCTATGTTTGCGAGTTGAATTTTCTAAATCCTTTTTTTATTTGTAAAAAATTCTGACGCACGAAAATATTTTATTTGTTATTTTTCGATATTTAAATTTACGGCGTACATAAATATTGCATTGTTCGACCGGTATAGTCTTGTTCTAGGCCGAATATTTATTCAAGAAGAATCCCGAGGGAAAAATGTTCGAGCCGGATTATACGGAAACAATGAGTATGCTCTTAGACGCTATCGGACGGCAACAAAACGATGTCCTTCCGAGCGAAAGATTGAAAGCTGATATAGAGAAATTTCTAAAGAAGCAAGATGAATTATCCACCGCGGATGAAATAGAAAAAAGTGAAATGCAGGACGTCTGCGAAGAGATAAAAACGATATCAATCTTTTCTGAGCAGACTTCCGAGTACGAAGAGATTGATGATTTTGAAAAAGAAGAGTTGAATTTTACTGAACAAATAATCGATGAATTCGGAGGCGAAGCATAATACATTCGTCAAATCAACCTTAATATATTTGAAGATTTTGTAATTTTTTACTTATTAATAAGCGAGTTAAAAAGCATAAATATCTCATCGCTTACAACATTTCACAAGTTATTAATTTTCCACACTTATTCCATTATATTTATTTTACTTTATAATGCATTTCTAAGATAACGAATATTTAAATAAGGGATATATTAAATGTAAATTCTTGGATATCAACTTCGTACATAAATTGCTTTGTTAACTTAACTGTGATGATTTTTTCTATGCGAACGTTATTTTTTTAACCCAATAATGTCGATGCTCATTCAGACGTAACTTTATCTTTGCACGTGTAATGTAAACTAAATATAACGTATGTATATAAACAATCTCTTATTATATACTTTTTAAATTAAATATCACATATTTTTGATACTCTCGCAAGATACATAATACATTATTGTCATATATCCTCGTTACTCATTGTACAAAATATATAATTCCTTCTACTTTTAATATGAATGTTTGATTTTCTGCTTATAAGCACTTAGATCATTCTAGTATGCAACAAGCAAGCTTTCAAGCTGAACGTTCAAAGTGACGCCTACGAGGAATTTATCTCTTGGATCTCCAGGATCTTGGTAGTCTCACATGCATGCAATTACATTATCACGATAGAGGAACAACAGAAATTTAATAATTTTCCTCTCTCTTAAATATTTTAGTATTATTAGAAGATAACTTTCATCAAAAATTAAATGCGCAGGAAAGTTTGATTAAGAGGAAATCTCTGTTTACAAGAACTCATAATTTAAACACGCGCAATTTCCCAAAAAGGCCTCCGGAGAACAAAGTTTATAGCCCTTGATTAAGTTATATATATATATATATATATATATATATATATATATATACGATCGGGAGAAATATATATATATACAATATATATAATATAGTCGTTTTCTGACATGAGTGGACTTCGATAGTCAATCTAATTTTCAGTTTGTTTCCTTTAGGGCGAATTGATAAATATTAGCTCGCCTAGTTTCAACTTCCATTACTAATATATGTGTTTTTCCCGATCGTAGTCGACGGAGACTTGATTTAACACGATTAAGTTATACTAAACATATGTGTAAGTGCATGTGTAAAAAACATAACTTTAGCCATTCTAAAAATTGTTATAAATATCAAGAATAAACGCAACACGGTTAAATTGTTTGTTTTATGGAAATGTCATCAGACGATGCAATGTATGCGTATTATTATAGAAATCAAGACTGCGCTCCTGTGAAACTGAGTGAGTACAGTTTGATAAAAAAAATGTATGACTCTTTTACAATATTTTTACGATATCTAACGATTATATTTTTATAAAATTTGAGTAATAATATAATAATATTACGATGAGAAAAGAGGATATTTGTTTTAAACTTTAGTAAATAATTATATGACTCGCGACTGAGAGAAGTCGTTTTCTGACATGAGTGGACTTCGATAATCAATCTAAATTTCAGTTTGTTTCCTTTGGAGCGAATTGATAAATATTAGCTCTCCTAGTTTCATCTTTCATTACTAATATATGTGTCTTTTCCGATCGTAATCAACGGAGACTTGATTTAACACGACTAACTAGCACATTGCGGCTTTTAATCACATAAATTCTCGTAATGGTCGTCATAACGATAACGTGTTGTTATCCCGATAAAAGCGGAATAATAACTCATTGTTATAAAAATACACACAATCGCCGTAATTGCATAAGCGGTGTGCAATTCGCTCATTTAGAGAGTTACATCAATTAATTAATTGATGTCATAGAGCAAATTATACGCGTGTGCTTTCCATGCGTTGCAGCTTAATTACGCAGATAATATATCAATATCGTAATAATAACAGCAAATTATGCATCACACAAAACTATTCAATCTTTGGATATCTCGCTATCAATTTCATTTATAACTAGTCGTGAAAGCACATTTAAGTTTAGTATCTTCCAGGAAAGATAGCGAGCTTTCAATCGAACCGTATAGTACTTATGGGGCCAAGGGCAAAGATTATATACTGCGCTCCATATTTCTACATATATATATTCCTACTGATACATTTCCTGTACTATTTCTGTATAAACATGTGTCAATTATACCTCCAACAACGTGATTCACCTTGTAAAGTGATAGGATTATTTTTATGCGTGCGCGCGCGCAAGGACATAATGTAATTCAGTAATAAAGTTCTACCTTATTGTTTTATCATTATTGTTTTATCATTATTATAATTCTGCAACACGTGGGGCATTATAAGCTTTTCTCATTCAAAAGTCATAAATAATTCAGGTGCGGAATAAATAAAAAAATTATAAGGTAGAAATAAATTATGGATACGCAAATGTGTGTCAAATGTGAGAGTAAACTCGATAATGCAAAGAAATGCATGTGCCTGATTGGCTTGCAAATGTTTCACGTAAGCTTTAATTCACCGTCTATATAATCGATTTGAAACTTATGCCTACCAGCAGAAATTAGGTCAGTTTACAGTAACCTGGTTTTGATCAATGCAAAGTAATATCCGTATTGAAAGTAGATCTGGATCAATGACATTTCCTATCGAAATGATCGACAGACAATGTCTCACTCATTCTACCTGCTAATTTCCGCCGACTCTGTTACAGAGAGTGGACACGGGGGCGAAATCGCCATATTCTTTGTAACTTTCGCGGCACTTATCGATTCTTACAAATATAAATAATGCTAAAACATTAATTACTTTGCATATATGAAACCCGTATGCATGAACCATGGCGCACAATATTAGCAAACACATTAACATGTAGCTTTAACTTTGAGATATGTTGTAATTTCTAAAACCTCAGAATCAGTATGTATTTTATTAAATATACATATATATTTATATGGCTCAATTCATATCCTTTACGATTTATTGAAACCTATTTCAACAATTCTTTGGTTCAGTTTATAATTTTTATAAATATATGCATATATATTTTTTTTTAATTCCCTTCTCTAATCAAGATAAATTATATATTCATATGTATTTAATTTACCTTTAACATCAAAATAAAAACAAATGTATTATACCGATTTATCACGTTACAGCTTGAGTCAAAATTCGAAATTATTCCTGAAAATGCATACCATGGCAATTGGTACAACTGATCCTCTGATCAAGTGATCTGCATAGTTAACATTCCTTAACGTCACGTAAACTGTAAACCACGAATTCAAGGTAGTTATCGTAAATATATATAGCTCGATGTTACAATAGCGCCCAAGTTTGAATTTCCCCGATGTTATTGAGGTGCACGGGGAAAACCGCGGACTGTATATCTGTATCTCCAAACACCTGTTAGCAGTTGCTTTTGAGTGGGCGGCTCGCCACATCGCCTTTAAAGCGGCGGCATCGCGAGCAGACCGAATTCCTGCGTCGCCCTCGAGATGAGCGAGCGAGGGAGCGAGCTAATCTCGATCACCCTGGGCATCCTGACCCCATCGCTGGGATCAGATGCGGTTCGTTTATTTTCTGTTCGCTCGTAACTAAATCGAACAAAAATCAAGTTACTTACCGGCGTGACCCTGGAGCGAATAATTCGCCTCCTCGCTCGGCACAACCGTCTCCTCCAGGATGCTCTCCGACGCGGTCTTCACGATTCCCATCCTCGGTTCACGCCGGTGGATGCTGCGGACTAACGGTATCAAGCGGTCAGACGCAACGATAGTCCAAGGTTCTCTCTCTTTATCTTTCCCTCTCAGTTACTCTCCGATCCCACGGCGATTATCACGTCTCGATTGTGCCGCGTTGTCTGGCGTTGCCGGAATGCTCGGCGCCGTTTCGTCCGCTTATTGCGTCTGCGTTCGCGCCTGCGTTCATCCCCCTCGCCAGATCTTCCCGTCCGTTCCCTCGCACTCTTGTCCTTCTTGACCCTCGTGCATCCCCCGTTGCCACGGTCGGCACCTCCCCCCCGTCGAATCGTCATATACAGGAGCAAGGCTATCCCTCTAGGCCAGGTGAGTAGCGCAGTAGGCAGGAGGATTGTGGCGTAGCGGTAGTAGTGGTGATGAGCTGACACAGTGGTGTAGTGGTGGGTGACGGTGTCCTCTTTATACCGTGATAGGACGACTAGGGGTTGCTGCTGTTTTCGCTGCCGCCGCTTTTGCTTGTGACGGCTGCTTCTCCTGCCTGCCGCTGCTTTTGTAGGGTGGGGTGCGAGACGAGCACATAGCGCACAGGGGCAATGTCGACCTATGTCGGTCTCGGTGAAGGTCTCCGTTGGTTACCCGTGCCGGGTAATACTTCTCTTGCGCGCGCCCTTTCTCTCCCTTTCTCTCTCTCTCTTTCTCTTTTTAGCTCCCTTATGTGTCTCCTGCCTTCGATCTCAACTCCCTTTCGATTCTCCGGCGCTTTACGCTCTACATTTTATTTAAGCTTGTCAATCGTATGCTGCTATTGCCACTAGTCTGCGTTGACTCTTCATCCGCTGTAACGTGATATCTTATATATTCTAACTTTGACTTTTATAATAATCAAACATTCTTTAAGTAGAAAAACTTGGTCAATTGCAACGTTTTTTATTATTAACTTTGTTTTTTTTTAGCTCCTTCCTCTTTTATTTTCAGGTTCATCTTTTTCAGCATGACGACATTGCGACGTTAAATGAAGCGATGAATTTAAATAGGTTTATTACGTGTGTCTTCTATAGAACGTTCTCTTATTTTTTATTGCGGAAATTCTGATTAAATTTTAGATAATAGACAAAGTCATCGTACACAAGGATATGAAATACAGAGAGAGTATTTATTATAATACTATACATATTATATATTACATATATATATATATATATATATATATATATATATATATATATAATTCCTTTTTTGCTCTACAGAATATTCTCTTTGCTGTTGAAAAAAAATGTCATTTCAACGTTTTAATTTATTCGCATTTTGATATTCAGCAAATAAACAAATATCTTTGAATCATAAATATTTGTCATAAACTCGGGAAAAGTGTACATCGAGGAAAAGGGAGAAAGGGAAAGGAGATGCTTGATATATCTCTATATATTCGTATAAATATGTGCGCCGAAAACCGGGGCTTTCCGTTCGCAACACGTGTTTGCCCTTGAAAGCTCCCACAAGCAGCGCGGGTGCCTTGTTGAACGCAAGGGGCGATCGTTAAATCACACCCTTTATCATGCACTCGCGCTAGAAATCTCGGAATCCCGACTCGCTCGTTTAACTACGCCACAATGTCTCGAATAATCCCAGCGTCTACCTTAATCCTCAGCGTCTCTTCGTACGACTCGCTTTGTTCGCAAGTGTGCGACACCTGCGTCATCGGACTCGCTTCCGCTTTATTGAGTGCACCGCCTGTGAGATCTCGGCTAAAGGCTTTTCGCCCCTCCAGATCGTCCTTCTAAGTGTCGTAGACAGACGGGGAATCGGATTCACGCAGATATCTCACATTGCGAAAGATTTGTATGAAAGTCTTGTTGAGCTCTTCAAGATATATCTGAATGAATATATAATGTTGACTTGCAATAGAATATATGTATGTATATAGAGAAAGATCGGAGTCTTGAGAATCGGTGAATTTTATATTTTTCTCATTTACATTCAATTTTGTAAACACTCTACACATATATTTGAAAAATTGTACAATATTAATTTTTGATATATAATGCAAATAAGATGTAATATTATTATATGTAAATTTATTTATGATAGTAAAAAAATCCCAATTAATTTATAAATATGTAATAATACGTGAATGATATACTTATATACTTATAGACTCATATATAATTCCGTTTGGAATTATGGAATATTACATCTATAACGAACACATTTTTAAATTATGCTAATATATAATTAATATATAAATATTATATTATTATTAATCTTTATATTACAACATATTAATATACATAATAATAAGTATCTTGCTTAAATCCTATATTACTATATATCATGTAAATTAATTTGTAAATATATACATACATAATTTTATATGTACAATGAAATATATTAAATGTTCTGTAAAAGTAATAAAATTCAGTTGTGAGAGAAGTTAGAAATCGTGTCTTTACGAGTTATATCGATTTGTTAAAACCTTGTTGAATTTCTATTCTATACTTATAAAAAAAGAGAAATAACTATCTCGTGCTTTTAACACGATTACACTTCCGCGTTCATTTGTTCATTGTCAAATTCCTTTTCCCAGTAATGAAATAAGATAAATACATTGACTTTTCCACCCCAAAGTATAGTATGTATGGCAAGATATAGTCATAGTGAAATCTGTTGCACCGCTCTGCGATGCTATTTTCACTTGACTGTATATATATATATACAATATATATATGTATTTTGCACAATATCTTGCTTTTATTGCGGATTCTAACTTAAGCCGATTCTCGATTATTCTACACTGAATAAACGTGCACATAGATTTTTTAAAGACTTAGCAAGATGCGCCATTCAAAACGTTTTTTTATTATCTTCCATCCCGTTTGTCTGAAATTGGAACAGCTTAAACTTTTCCGATACCATTAGGATATTAAAGAATATTTCTATTTTAATAATATATTGTATAATAATGTTTGTAACATCTTAGTTCTTCTCTAAAAGAGCTTATAATACAGTAACATTAAGCTATCACATTAAAGAATTAATACTATTAAACAGGAGTCATACTAATAAAATATACAATGAAATGTCGTATATTATAATATCATTATTTAGGTACCTTTGTCATAATCGTTAACCTATAGAAATGACTTTAGAGAGTAACATTTATATTATATAAAAAAGTAATAAACTGCGAAACTGCGAACACACATATATGCAAGTAAACTTTCAAAGTTCCAGCCTCAAAGATTATATAATAAGTCTTATTTTCTATACTACTGTTCTGAATTTTTTAAATTTTAAATTTGCGGTTGTTTGTACCGAAGTATTCAAATAGAATTTCAATTGTGATGCGTAAAAATATTCAAATTCTAATGACATAGTTTTTTCAGCTTTGCAATGTATAAATTTTGAATTTCTCTGATTTTTATTTTGACATTTTACAAATTTATCATAAAATGGAATCATATTGAATCGTACATTGATTTTCGAATACTTACTTGTACGCGTGTCCCGGGTGACTAACCAGCGATCGATTCGAATTTGCTGTATAGGTATATGGTTTCAGCAGCATCTCTTTGGAATAGAATATCTGGAATAGCGCTCAGTAAACATATGAATCTGTCTTCGTGACTTTAATTTCTTATGCCTGTATCAAATGTCAAGCACATAAATTGATCTTTTACGATAATGTAATGTGAAATAACATTATAAAAAAATAAGGTCATGTAATAATAAAAAATAATTTCGAATACGATAAATGAAAGAAATTAAAAAGAAACTTATTATTCACAAATTACTAATAAAATATTTAAATACAATTATTTATAAAAAAGGTAAAATTCTTCTCTCGACCGTACTAGCAAATATTATTTATTCAACCACATTGTGATTGAATAAATAATATTTGCCAGTACGGTCGAGAGAAGAATTTTACCTTTTTTAAATTCTGTCTGGCGATTCTCAAATATCTACGTTCTTACAATTATTTATATCTTACATTAAAATTTATCAAAATTTCATATTAAATATTTTTTTAGAATAAATTATTTTTTATTAATTTACCGATATAAGAATCAAACAAAATCAGTCTTTTATTTAAAGGATCATGTCTTCTGTTACTGACATTATTGCATATGTATATACATGTAGAGAACCAATCTGATGTCATGCTTGGCTGACTTAATGTAGTTCATGCTAAATTATCAAATGGCATGTTATCGAGAAATTGAAACTGTCGATTAAAATATAATTAAATATTCAACATGCAAATATCTCTAAAAAACGATGAATCGATGAAATATCATATAGATTAACATAAACAAAAAACCTAAATAAAAAATGAATATATATGTATTTGAGTTAAAGATTATGATTTTGATACCAAAAAATAAGAGTAAATGCTTTTAGAAATAACGAATTATTGTATTAAGTTTAAATATTTGTAAATATAAATAAAAATTATTAAATTTTTATAGCAATCTGTCTTGTCGAAATATCTTGTCTTATTTTACCGTGTAATTAAGCTGCCAATAATTAAATGCGATAGAGCATGAAGCATCTGTTTTGATTGAAAACTTATCTGAAACTACTATATAGTTTTGATTTGTACAGCATATTGTCTGGTAAAAAGATTGATGAGAATGATAGGATGTTTTCCTTGGATGTGGTGTCTTTGTTTACGAACGTTCCTCTGGATCTTGCGATTGACGGTATTAACGATAGATGGGATCACATTGGAATAAATACTAAAATACCGAAAAACGAATTTTTGGGGGGTATAAAATTCATATTGACTTCTACATATTTTACATTTGATGACATAATTTATAAACAGACGTTTGGGACCCCTATGGGGTCACCGTTATCACCAATTATTGCAGACCTGGTTATGCAAGATCTTGAGGATACAGTTCTCAAAGCGTTGAATTTGGAATGTTTGTTTTATTTTCGTTATGTGGATGACATAATAGTGGCCACCTCTATGACTAATATGACTCAGATTGTGAATAATTTTAACAACTATCATGAAAGACTTAAATTCACGGTCGAACAAGAGGTTAACCATAGCTTGAATTTCTTAGATTTATCACTTAAAATTATTAATAACAAAATATATATAGACTGGTATCAAAAAGAAACCTTCTCAGGAAGGACGTTATCATTTTATTCAAACCACCCACTATGCCACAAAATAGGAATAATATATAACCTTGTAGACAGATGTCTATTGCTATCACATCCACTATTTTTTAATAAAAATTTGGAGTTAATTATTAATATACTCAGAAGCAATGGTTACCCTCTTGATCTGATTTTTAACAAAATTAATCATCGGATAGAACACATCATATCTAAGGGGAGCATTATAGAGAGACAGGCCAACATAGAAAGAACAAAAAGTATAAGAAATGACTCGGTCAATAAAAAATTCTTTGTCATTCCGTATATAGATGGGATCTCAGAAATGATTGTTTCCTCGGTAAAAAATAAAAATTGTATGGTAGGGTATAGATGTCTCAACAAACTGGATAATATTATTAAAGCGCAGAAAGATAAAACTAAACATCCATGCAATTCGAATGTGGTTTATAAGATCAGTTGCAATAATTGTAATGCATCTTATGTAGGCCAAACAAAGAGGCAATTGCAGACGCGAATAAAAGAACATAAAAATAATATTAGGTTGGACTCAACGAAACATTCAGTAATTTCTGAACACATAATAAATGAACATCATACTTTTAATTGGGACAATGTTAAGATCATGGACAACGAAAATAATTATTATAAAAGACTCATTTCTGAGATGCTACATATCAAGGAACAAAAAAATGGACTAAATTTAAACAAAGATACTGAGTTACTTAGCGAGTCGTATTTTGATATTTTGGATATATTAGCGAACAAGAAATAATAATAGGACAAATAGGACATTAACGAGTAAAACATAGATATTAGATCATATATAAACACGCACGCTCTCCGATCAAGTAGAGTTTAAAATGAGCTGTCTTTCTGTATTGTTGGTTTGTTATGTGTCATCCTTAATAACTGTTAATAAGTAGCAAAATTATCAAGAAGAACGATGATAGGTAAGCATACTACCAATTGTAGGGGATACATATTATAATTTGGACATGCGTTGATCGGTAATTTTTTATAAATCGCAGCGCCTACGGAACGGGTTAATTTCTCGCATATTAACGATGAAACTATCCGAGATCTGAACAAAATCAGGGATCATATCGAGGCGAACATTGTTGGACAGGACGGATTGAAACACGCGTTAATTACTCAAAAACTCTTGATTCTGAATAACTATAATTAAATTTCGATATTATGTGAATTGTAAGAATTTATATTTCAATAATTATACTGAAGAAGACCGCGTGCGGTCGAAACGTTTATAGAATGATTGTAATTTGCGTTAGTTTTAATATAATGACTGTAGTTTTATAATTTATACATGTAATAAATGGTAGTTGACTGAACATCTCGAATATTCAGCTCGATAAGTTGGCCTTATATTTATCACTTTGTAAACTTATCATTTATAAAATATTTAAAATAAATTTTTATATAAAAAAATATGAAAATCTTTCTTCTTGCATGCCTGATTTAACGAAGCGCATGCACATTATCATCGTTGAAATGTATCTTTTCAGATTTATTCTTTTTATGTATATTATGCATTATTTTCTTATGTATATGTTTATTTTTTCAAACAAGTAAAACAATTGTATTGTTTTAAGGCGTCGATATTTTGTTTCATTTTATCTGGCAATTATCTCGCAAATATTAATGTTGCAATTTTTAATGTTTTATGCATGTCATTATACGAAAGATTGTATCACATATGTATTTTTTGTAAATAAAATTAAGATCTATGAGAGATGGCAATGTCTGCGACACTATTAAAGTCAAGTCTGGTCAATCGCTATCAATTCTTTTCATCATTATTGGTTTTGGCGTGAAAAATAAGCATCTTGAGAATCATATACTTACGCTTTTTTGTATTATGAAAACATATCCATCTTCGTATTTCATTTAATTATCATGAACAGAAGTAACTAACATGGTATATCGTTGTTCTGTGACCTTTTTTGATTAACACACAACGCATTATTCATCTATTTCAGCTGTTTTATTATTATAGTTATTAATGATTATTATTTATTATAAAATATATTGTATACATAAATCTAAAAAAATTATTATAATAATTTTTATTTCATTAAATGTACAAAAATCTTTTAAAATAATTTCTCACTTTTTTCTACTTCTTTATCAAATTTTCGTGTAAGAAATTCCTAATAGATTTTATTTTTAAGCTCGTTATCAGTCATAATTGATTCCAATGGCATCTTAATTTTTTATAAATGCTATTATTAATATTTTTTTGTATAAATTATTTTTATTTGATATTCGCTATATATTTCATATTACGTTCGACGGCGAAAGAGCATTGCTAGTGAATTTGGATGGACCGTTGAATGATAAAAAATTGAGAGGCAACTTTTGGGTTTTAGGAGAAAAGTCTAAATAAAATGCACAAAATTACAAAACTTTACACAAAGTTTTATTAACCGATATTTTACAACATGCGACAGCGTAGCTACGCAATTAGTTAGTGTCTGTAGGCGTTTCGTGTATGTCTTTACTTAAGGCATAGCAATAAAATTCGTAGCATCTTAAATAACAGAGATGTAAGTTAATAGATGATCATAGATTAAGAGAAAGAGAGAAATGTGTGATTTGAGCAGATGTGTATGTGGACTCCGTCGTGGAATTTCCTCAACAATGCGGGCAGCGTATCATACCAAAGACGTCGCATTTGGCGCACTTTAGAGCGACAAATTCTACTGTGAACTCGTTGCGATGTACTGATCTCTTGCTACCGTGACAGATTGGACATAGTAGTCTCTGGAATCCGCCGCAGTAGGTACAAACAGCGCATGCATCCTTACACTGAAACGCACAAATGTTTTGCAATATTTAATTAAATGCGTTGGAAAATTCACAATAATTAATCGTTTCTTGTGACAGTTAAACAAGGTTCGCGTACTAATTTCCACTAAATCAACGCGTAGTGGTTTCTGTCATTTTGCAGCAAATTTGTCATATGCTATAGAGTAAGCATAATAGAGAGAGAATTATTATCTCTGTATATTCATATCTGTCTGTATCCTATAAAAAATATCCATGAAATGACGACTGTAATTTGATTCAATTAAAAGCAAATTTAATCATATTTTCTCATAATTGCAAATTGGATTGACTTTTAATGATCTGTCACATAAATTGAAAGTTACTTAGAGCTTTGTGTGCAAAATGGTTTAATTGAAACTGTCCTCAGTTAATCTGAATTTTGTTCACGCTGCATTAAAAAGATCAAACTTTCAAGCATCGAGAATTAAAATGATAATAACTGTGTTTAAATGTTTTTAATTACTTTTGTATTAAATTGTAACTTTAGACACATAATTATAATAAATGACATAATGAGTAAAGTAAATGTAAAAGATTTTTCTTTTTATTCATTGATTTATGCGTTAGCTTTTTTGATTTCTTTAAAATTTTCAAATATACTGATAACTTGTTAATATACAATAACATACTTAACAGAATGATTCTTAAAAATGAATAATTAGATAAATTCTGCGTGACAATGATGTTCCAACAAATTTTCTATCGAGTCTTGACGTTGCGAAACTAGTTTTCACTTTCACTTTGACTTGCTACTGATCGTGAGTTTAATGTACTTAAACTATAAATCGATTTTGCAGAGTATACAACAAGTCCGAGTGTAATTACTATCTAGATATTCACGAAAATATCAAATAAACATTATTGTGGATTTTATTTAAATTTACATAATGCCACACACACAATTATCGTATATGGAAATAAACGAAATGAAAGGCATTAATGAACTATATAAGTCAATCAAATGTATCATAAATCCTTTCACTTGTTTGATGATTTCAGTAGAAATTAGAAAACTATATTACATTGTTAATACTTGGTGAATTATTTAGAAATAATCTTCTGTATGTATCTATGTATTAATTTTAAATGATTTTATCATTATATTTATGAAGAAACTAATTAATTTATGTGAAAAATGGAATAGAATCGCTACGTACATCTCGTAGGAGATCGGTTGGAGGAATTTATATGTATAACAACACCGTTGGCATGCGACAAAAATAACAATGGCAGTATATATGTAAACGACCTTTAGTTGCAGCAAGGTAAACCTGAATTGCACGACATCGAAATTTATGATCTCGATGGAAAAGGAGACGGCAATTGGAGAGAGAGAGGGTTACAGATAAAAGTGAAAGGACCGTGCAACCTTGCGTTCACAACTGCTTGTTGTGTGTAGACTTTTCATCACGGTCTACTGTTCTGTCTACTTTAGATGGGCTGATTTTGCGTATAATGAATGCGACCGTACAAAGCAATTATGCGAATTATTCGAATCGTGACGTTATTCTTAATGACAACGCGCATAAATTTAGATAAAATACCGATTTTTTTTTATTCCTGTTCTAAACAAGGAACGTAACAAGCGTAGATATCAAAACTTCTTGTTACATAAATTCTTTTTAAAAATTATAAAATGTTATATATTTTTAAAACTGTAAAAACTGATGATAATTAATTTATGTCTGAATAAAATTGTTGTTGTGAGTGTATATAATTAAAAATTGCGATAACATCGACTGGTACTTAGCGTTAGAAATTAAATGTTAAACACACATGATTTGAATTTAAAATAGAGACGGAAATTATGCGTAGCTTTTCAACTTTAAAAGGTTTAATCGGTTATGTCAACTTATGAAACGTTACACGAGTTTATATTAATTGATATGTCACGACTGATAATTATTAAAATTAGTTGTGCGACCGTAGCTATTTGTTCTCGCGCATTTGCGTATTGTTTAATATAATAATGAGTTTAATACATTATAAACGTAACGCGTTAATCGAAAAATTCCAGTGACAAATTATTAATTCCACGCTCCAACGAATGGCGCATCTGTGTTCAGATATAGTCTGGAGCGAAAAGGATATATATATATATAATATATATCGAGGCTCTACGATGCCTGGTAAAATCAATTCACCTGGTAAGGTTCCAGAATGCGGCGTAGCTCTCCCGACTCGTTAAGCCGTTCGACGGTGTCGACACCCTGTAACAAGCAAAAAATAAAAATTTGTGAAACGCAGACATTTAATAACATGGTATTTAAACCGTTCGAGTTATTCGAACGCTTTCTTTCCGCCTAGATCATGTCATCTGTTGCTATGTATATGCTATACCGTAAACAGAACTTTCCCGATATGTCTCACGTGTTAAAAAGTTTCTGTCAAAATAAAAGAAAATCTCCAAACGCGTCTTGCAAGACGACGACGTAATTTTCTCGACGAGAAAAGTACGGTTGCACGAAAACATTTTATCACATTTCCCGCTTTTCTTTGCGTATATCGTGCATAGCGCAGCTTATGTATATATCCATCGTAATGGTTGTATTATCATGCATTTTTATGCTAATGTTAATGAGACTCTCTTAATAAGACACGAGATATGTATTTTGCAGGTTTAACGCGCCTCTGATTTATTCGAAGAAGGAAATTTCGCTCCGTTTTATATTTCAAAAAGTCTTTCGAATTATAACAAATAATTGACTAAATATAACTTACGTACTATACCATAATACCTGTTGCAAAATTTTCAAGATTGTGGTAAACATTACGTGTTTGCGAACGCAAACGAGTAAAATAATGCGACATTCCGAAGGTTCGTCCGAGCACGTCTTATAATCTCGTATCTGATATAACGTAATACAGGCTTTATTGCGATTATACATGGTTACGACGGTGTATTCCTTTCACCAAAGACGATGCGAGCTGTCAAATGTGTGAAGAGTGAATAAGAGTGAAAGCATTGAAGTTGTACAAATCAATTAAAAAAAAAAAGTAGTAACGGGAAGAAACGCAGACATTTTTCGATGATTTTTGGTATCGATCTCGACTATTTTGTACGAGATAATTGCATGACGTTGGCAGATTGGAATGCAGTTGGGCTAGCTTTATCTGTGTACACTTGTATGTTAGACATCAGCCACCTTAAGGCGGTGTAACGCAGGCAATCTCACCTCGCGTTCTCTCCAACGGCCTTGGATCAAATCAGCTTGACATTTCACTCACGCATATATCTGTTCTTTCCAACTATCGGTTTGCTGGAAATAAGTCTTGAGAAACGGACACCGCGACGTAGACGAAAAGATCAAATTGCAGATATAATTGACTATTTAAATTAAAGCCAAAGGTATGCTATTTACCCAATGCATTTTTATTGAAAAGATATCTTATTGCTATTAAATTTCAGAAAAACTTTCCGAGAAAAATTAAATTGGAAACTTATTAAAAGTTCATATATGCGATTAAAAATTATATATATGAATATATTTTTATTGGTGTGAAAAGGTTAAAAGCGATTATAATAATATAATTATATATTTAAATAATCATATATAAGCTATACATTTAAAAATTATCTATTTAATTTCATATTAAACAATTTTCAATTTTAATAACTTTTTATCTTAAAAACAGACTGTATTCTATAAAAATTTATTGTATTATATAAGGTATAACCTGATATTATATTGGAAACATGTGTAATTAATAACTGCATCGTGTATACATATGCTATATAATTCTCATAATATGATCAAAGTATATCGCTAACTTCATCACTTGAGAAAAGTGCGTAAACATAAACTTTGAAGCTTATGATTACGAAGACCTTTACATTGCAATAAAAGCGACACGCTATTTTACGAAGACATATATCTCATAAGGTAAATCGTCGCATATATGATGATACAAACTTGTATTACTTCCGTCGTGAATGAGAGCAATTACGAACTGTACACAATGGGAACATTCGTAGGTTTATTACGGTCATTCCCAAGTACCGTAACATTTAAGTGATCTCACTACGATAATAATCGTTCCTTACCACTAATTTCTACTATCTCATTCTGTCGATTAAGTAATCTTTATTACGACTCAGTCTATCTAATTGGACAAATTGACAGCGCGGAAATTGTGATCTGGTTATACGAGTTTGTCTTTAAAATGGCTGATTGAAATAAAGATGTGTTTTTTTTTTCATCGGTTTATATTAATATATAAACATCTCAGAAATTTAATTTTTAATATATTGTATTTTCTAAATTATTTTAGATGTTAAACAATTTTTATTGTTATTTCTGACTTAATATAATTTTCTTTTATAATCTTATAGCAGATACAACGTAAGAGAATTTGTGAAAGATGACTCTTTATACCTGAGCATTGCATGCTGAAACACGGTACTTTGTCATCTTTGTCATGATATTCTGTTACCATATACAAACACGTAAATAAAATCCAAAGATACAATATAGTTTGATTAAAATAAAAAATTTCACAATTAAAATTTATTCTTATTTATTGTATTATTCATGTAATAGTTATTTGTTGCATTTGAATTAATTAAGTGCAAAAATTCTATTATTTAAAATATTTAAGAATATATGTGTAATTTTCTTTCATTGACTCATATCTGTTTATATCGTCTATATAAATCAAGCACAATCTTCAATCTCAAATTTTCATTCGTAAATTCATTCAAATTTCGCTCATCAGTCGACAGTTATCTTTGACATTTCACGTTATCCATCTCTCAACTTTCTCGATGTTGAATATCGCCGATTGCATAATGCGTCATCGGCCTTGTATGTATAAATTCTTCACAAGGCATAAGAGGATGACTTCGAAAGGATCATGGAGTACTCGTAATTTGAATGCTACGCGCATTCTATAAGTTTTCTTATTAGAAGTTATTCTATCTCTCTCAAGAAGAGAGAAAGATATCGATATCGCCAGTAGGAACTAAATAACTAAGTTGACAAACGTCAAACGCAGATGACAGAACATTCAACGCCAGCTGCTCACGTTTTATTATCTAACGTAAAGCATAAAGCGTTTATGTCAAAAATAGATATTTTAAAGTAACAACATAAAATACATCACATATATTGTATATAATTTGTTATACCTACGTCACATCTTTTAGGAATAATAAATTAAATATATTATGCATTAATATTTTATATAATAATAGCTTATAAAGATAAAAGTACTTTTAAGAAAAATATTTTTAAAAGAGCAGTGTATTTCCAAGGGTACAAATCTGCATACTTTTAACTTTATGCAGCGTTTTATGAGTTTTATTATATTATTTAGCAAGGTCGTGGCATATTTTCTCATATTTAATTTCTACTTCACACAACGCATTAACATGTTTAACTAGTAAATAGCGCTGTTATTTTTATTTTATAACAAATATTTTTATTAAAATTTACTATTTTATCTGTCATTTCTTTAAAATTTATTTCATTAATATATTTTCCTCTATTTTTGCAATCCAACATATTACACTGAAAAATGCATACATACCCCGATATGCTGACCATCGACGAAAAGTTGCGGTAATATTAAGACTTCCAAATCGATTCGTTCCCTGAGTTCGGTCTGCAATTCCGTGTCGCGGAATAAATCCGCTTCGTCATACTTGACCATGTTTGTCCATAAAATTTGTTTCATCTTCATACAATTGGTAAAGGTCTCTCTAACTATGCCTAACGATGTCATGTAGAGCACCACTTTGCCTTTTTCTCTTCTACATAAGCCTGAAACAGAATATAATAGGTCATTAAGGATTAAGCAACAAAACCCGCGGTGTAAATTTCAAGTTTTAACAGATTACAAATTGCATTGAGATTTACGATAGTAAAATATTGAGATGATTATTCTCACGATCACTTGCACAGTGGCATACGTACATATTTCATTTTGTATCAATATATTTTGTTCGATATAAAATCATCAATCATTATTAATCGTTATTAATCAATAACAGTTATTAATCGTATTTACGAGACAACAGAGCACTGATGTTATCCTATCGGTTTCTTAGAGGTAACTGAGTCTGTCATAAATACGTAGTATTACTTGATCTAACTGTATCGCAGAAGTTTTGTTATGTTAATCTTTATTTTATACATATTTCGACAATAATAGAACTGCCTTAACACACGAACTTTCACGAAATGTCGAAACATATTTGGTCCACGTGTTCCAACTACGTATATATGCGCATATCATGACTGTTGTTTAGGAATAGTTTGACGTATGTATGTCAAAAATAGATACACAATACATCGTATAATATGTTAAAATAAAGAAATAAAAATAATGTCAATTATTATAAATATTATAAATTTTGCTAATCAACGACGTAAAAGTATATTTATTATTTAATTAAAAATATTGCTACTTATAATTAGAAATATGTTATTTAATTAATATATCAATCAATTATCTTCTAATTGTATACACACAGTTTGACATATCATTTTGACATATGTCATACTATTAAATATTGAACGTTCTGCCCCCTAGTTATTTTGAGACAACATTACCGGATAATCAACAATTATAATGCGCAATATGTAGAATCTAGAATCGGAGCACGTCAATCGAATGTGCCTCGAATGTGACATTATTTTGCGGGTGTTGAAGAATTATAATTCCGATATATTTACTATTTAAAAAAATTTGTACAGATTATTTTTTTTATTTACGTTGTCTATAATTTTTTTTTCATAAATAATACTATTTCTATAATACCATCATATTTTATGACTAACAAGTTTAAAAAAAAAGAAAGAAAGTATATATATATATATATATATATATATATATATATACACTTTCTCTTTTTCTCTTTTTAAAGCTTGCTATTAGGCAAAAAATATGGTAGTATATACATATAATAAATAGTTGATTAATAGTTTTTTATAAATAATTAATATGGCAATATCATAAGTAAAAAATAATAATGTATTAGTGTATTAATAAAATTCAAAAACTAACGATAAAAACACGATGTATGATGTATTTTCTCTCCTTTATTGGCGATCGATTTTTAGATAGACATGGATGGACAACAATTCTCACACGGAAGAGAATAGCTCTTTATGGTTCAACGATTCAATCGCAATCGCCGTTTGAACTTCGGTTTTGTTTAACAATGCGTGCATTGGGCACTTGTTCCTTTAACACAATCGATTTCATTGGCACGTATATAACTATTGCGTTATATGCATCAAGATATTACACATATCTGATAGCTTATGGAAAAAGAAATTATTTTACATTGCTGTCTACTATTTATAACACAAATATAATTTTTATTATATTAATTATATTTTGTACAATTAAATATTTATATTATTATTATACACATTGGAGAAAGAAAATGCCTTTTTACTCATAAAAGCTACATTTCGACTGAATCTTCATCCTTGAAAACGTCACAATTTGTTATAATACTGCGTCGTAAGTTTTAATGGATTGCAGATATTGGAAACGGATGCAATCTGTAAATTTGTGAGAGATATATTTCTTTCTCTTCAGATGATATCTCCGTAGTAATCTAGCTGCATTCTAAATTGCCTGCTTCTCGTAATGCCTAATATACTTTCCAGCTGAATTACGTAATGTCGTTTAGGCAGTTCTCTCAAGAAAGACGGGGAAGAATAAGGAGAAGATGGTGGTAAGTGGCAGACGAATCAGAAAAAGGAAAGGGAAATGATTATGTTAAATTAGCTTTCACCGCGCGCAGGAGAATTCAGTATTCGCATAATATTTCAATATAATTTTTAATCTATAAAGAACTTTTTACATTATTATTATTCTATAAATTTATTAGGTTTGAAAAATTCATGTGAATACTGTATTTTGAAAAGTTTCAATGTAAGCTTTTTATGTTTTCTTTTACCTTAATTCGTGTGAATATATCAAGCGGGAAAAACATTTTATTGTGTAAAAACCGTCTCTTTATTAATGCCATTGCTCTCGTAAAAATCCCAGATTGCCATTTATCGAGCTTAATGGAGAGCGTGTGATAAATGTCATATGCATTGCAAAAAATATTAATTAAAAACGTCCTTTGACACAATACAATTCAAATTATTTTTACATTTACTAGAGTATTCTTCATAGATACATATATACGAAAGAAAAGTTTCATTAAAATTGAATTTTCAAGTTGACGAAATGAAATTCTATCTCGCATGAAAATATTAAAACGTTGTCGCAAAATTCAATAACGTTCTAATATTCGTTACGTTCGCTTCGAGTTCGATGAAATTTCTGCTCCCCGATATGGTCATTTCGCACAATGATCACGTCCGATTAGCATTATGGATCACCACGTGCTCGTTCGACTGCTAATGAACGTAGGCACTTCAACGGGGAAACCAGACTTGTTGTACCAGGTGCATGATCTGCACTATAAAAGCATGCTATCATTGTGAAGGTATGCGTGGTAAGATCTCGGCTAGTTATTACGAACTTTTTGCTAACCTACTTGCTCCTACCCGTTACCCTACGCAAATGACACGTATAGTAATTGCCTTCGATCATAATTACAACGCCGTCTTGAGGAAGGCAGAGTTAATACAGCGGAACCACGTACACGCGAACCAGATGGCCTAACAGAAAGCTTTGCATGAGATATAAGGCGATGAACGAACTTTTTGCGTCCCATGTATCCTGAATATTAAATTGAAAGTTGGAAGAACAGTCGTCCGGCGAACGAAAGGCCTCAGGTTCGATTCCCGATTCATCTGACTTTTTGGACCGACATATTTTTCTCGTCTACATCACTATAAGGGGATAAAGGGAAATCGAGGAATTCATATCTCAAAAATTAGAGATTGTTCCTCATTTAGTCTTAGCAAACGGCTAAGTAAATTTCGTGCAAGTACATCCACTACAGGCTCTCACAGCGAATTATATCTTTCCATTTTGTTATTTATAATAAGAGCCGTGTATTATTATTATTTGTTAAATTAAAACTCTAATTAGTATTTATCGCTGCCTGATAAAAGTTTATTTAACTAAAAAATTCTAGTGAAAATATTCTTTGTCTTAGCGAACCACATTACGTTGATATTAATACTAGTCCCAAGATCGAGTCTGTATTATTTCCTTTTCTTGGCATTATACCAAAGTATACACAAAACGCTGATTAATATAAAATGATTGTTAATAATACTTTTCTACGTCAAAAATTATAATGTTGTTATAAATGCTTAGTCGCCATTTATAACAAGTACAATTTTTCATCTCAAACATGATAATCAAGAATGCACGTTTTTTTTAGTATGATCGATGAGAAGGAAGAGTTGGCAAGAAAGTTATTTATCGATCATGTATGTAGCCTTCTCTTAATGGGACGTGTGTGAGACTGGTGCGGGTCATTCGAGGTGAATATTTTTTTTTTGCGTCGCGACGGTCTTATACCGATATTATATCCTACACTCCACGTAGATCTTATACAATCCAATAGAAATCTTTTGGAACAATAGAGCTATGATAAAAAAGTATAAAAGCTTGTATGAAACCGCATTGTATAGTAGATATATTAGAACGCGTAAAAAGTATGAAAGAAAAGAAATTATGTTCGAAAAATTAATAGTACTGGACCTAAGAAGTCTTAAAAGAGCATTTTTAAATATTAGTGATAGTGAAAGAAATCGTGTAATAAATCATGTATAATTAAATATAGATATGTGTTTTATATTTCTTTAAAATCATAGTTCAAATTCTAAGAAACTGTTGGTTTTTTTAGTTTCATTATTAAAAATTCTGTAAACTTTCTTTTCCTCTTTGTAATTTTTTATTTTAGTTTGCAAATTTTTAATATCTATTTAATTATGTAGAAAGGAACAATCTTCATTTGCAATTAGCTCTTAGAAAATGATAATATTCCGGAATTATACATATAATTATCATGACTAATTAAACGTAAATCCTTATAACATTGTACACAACTCAGACAGTATAATGAGTTTCAATTGCACAGCACTACGATACGCAGCTTAACTATAGTGATATATGTATATTCTCAAAGGCAAGATAATTTTACGAGCGCTTAATGAAAGCTGCACCTAACCGTACGTGATTAATTGTGAATGGACTCTAGCTGGTAATACAGACAAATCGAAACACCGAAGACGATTTTTCCGTAACTGGGATAATGTTACGAGAGATAGTCAGGTCGCCCACTGACCGGAATTTGGTGCGTTAGGATTTTCCTGGGCAATATTCTAGAAATGCACATTTACTCGAAGAATGAAAAAGAACTTTGCTCGTTGACGCATAGCAACTTGTATCACGAGGGCAAGAAATATCCTTTGTAAAGGGTGATTGAAGAAGCGTATAAAATGAAGTTAACTAAGTTTCCAACAACGTGAAATCCATGATGTAGATAATGTTTATTTTCTCCTCATCTATTTATTCTCAACTTCCATCAAGCATCAGATAATTGTCAGAAATCTCTCGTATCGGTAAATTGAATCGTCGATCATTCTAATCTACATCTTGGCATATCTGTCTTGACGACCTAGCGCTTAATGGCATAATGATGAGAGTGAATGGCTAACGATTGCGGCACAATCGACGGTAGCTGGTTAATACAATTCAGTTTCTAAAGAGTAGGAGGCGTAATGGAAGTCGCGGTACGTTCTTTCGTTATTTCTGTAATGACAATGTCATGTACCATACGGACTTTCACAATGAGTTCCTGAACGAGAACGAGGTTCAAGCGGAATTAGAATCG